CAACCGTGGGCATGAGCCCTTGACCAGAATTGAACCCGGGACCCTTCAGTACACAGGCCAATGATGCTGTATCCACTAGGCCAAACCGGCTGGGGCGGGAGCTTGCATTTTAAATCCCTACACAGTGACAGAGGACTAGACCCAAGGTGAAAACTGGAAAAAATACTTAAGCAATCCAAGTATTCTCACAGAAAAAAAGATAAAAGCTGTCACATTAACTTAAAAAGACAAGCAGACAATATGGCATGAGTCAGCAAATGCAATAAACGAGTAGAATTAAACAAGGAGAAATTGGAAAATCCACAATCGGCCACCTCATCACTCTGACCCTGACCCCTTCCTGTGGCAGACTCCCTGAAGTGCTTTCTGGGAGCAGAGCCATGCAGGTAAATCTGAGGTGAGGAGTCAGGGACCGGAGGAGGCTGGCAGCCACTAAGAAGTGTTGGCATTGGGAGGGATTGATCTGGGAGAAATTAATGGAGCAGATCACTGCTGGGCCTGCTCAGCTGTCACTGTGCCGGGACTTCATTGCTGCCTGAATTGAATAGCCAGGTAGGAAGAGAGGACGAGAGAGAGACCTAAAGAAGAAATGCAGCAAGGAAACACCAGGAGACAGAACTAGCTAAGGCCAGTGGCTCTGGACCAGTCTCAGCTCCCAGAGGTGGGTCCTGGGCGCTGGATGCTCTGGTGGGGTCTTGACCTACAACTCCTAGCCCAAGGGTAAGAGAGGGACAGGAGCAGCCAAAAGTTCCAATCCAAAGAAGCCCTCTGTTGTTTTCCCTCTAGAAAACAAACTGGTGTGTGTTTTTTCTAAATATATCTTTTATTGATTTCAGAGAGTAAAGGAGAGGGAGAGAGAGAGAGAAACATCAGTGATGAGATAGAATACCAATAATTGATCAACTGTTTCCTGCACGCCCCCTACTGGGGATTGAGCCTGCAATCCGGGCATGTGCCCTGACCAGGAATTGAACGATGGTTCATAGGTCGATGCTCAACCACTGAGCCATGCCAGCTGTTCCTAGTTTATTTTTTAAATAAACATATTTGTAACAATGAGTGACTTCTTACATTAGTGTGGAAACCAGGTGGGGTGCCACACCTCCACACCATGGGTGAGTCTGGGAGCAGAGGGCACTGCAGCTCTCAAAAGGAAGATTTCCAGGCCCTGGGAGCTGGGAGCTGGGAGTGCAGGAGGCCAGGTCCCAGAGATCCCTCAGGTCCTGGCCCCACTTTCTTGCAGGCCACAGGTCTGGGCCTCAAGCTCCTACACCCTCATCCCTGCCTCCTCCTACCAGACTCCTCGTCTGTCCTTGCCAGGCCTGCTTAGCAGCTCAGGCAGCCCTCATAAATCAGGGCTCCTTGCCCTTTTATACTCTGGCTCTTGGTGCACACAGCCTTTTGGGCCTGTGGAGCCTGAAATAAATCCTCTCAGGCACCGAGTCCCTGAGAAGCCCCCGCACAGCGCTAGTCAGCACCTAGCAAGACTTCTCTTTGTTCTGCCTGGGGGGCCCTGCTGTCCAGGCCCCTCCTGTCTAGCCTCTCCCCTCCTTAGTCACCTGGAGGCCTATTTGCATGATGTCCCTCTGCAGGGAGCTGCATGCCTCTTCCCAGGTTCAGTTTCCTGGGGTGATTGTCCAGGGGATTTCTGGCAGCTCCCAAGCTTCTGAGTGTTCCAGTTGTCCCCCAGATCTGAGGGTGGGGCAGCTGCAAGGGCACACCCAGGCTTGCGCTGCCTTGCTGTGGCCACCCTTCCCCTGTGCTCACGTGGGACACTGTAACACTGTGAGGCTGGTTGAGCAGACATTATTCTTAGATCACGGGAGAGCGGCTCAGAGGTTCAACACCTTGACTCAAATCCCATGGTTATGTTTTCATGGTCCCTTATCTCACGCCTCCACTGCCTTAGAACATTTGCGATTTTATCTTTTATTGGTGTGATTACTTGAATTCTATCTGCATTCCCCTCCAAATACGACAGCTTTGCCCACCACTCTATTCCGTGCCTTGTCCACTGGCTGATACACAGATGCTCCATAAATGTTTTTAAGTCATTGGATGAATGCGTGAGTTAGAGGAAGAACATCCATCCATTCATTCATTCATTCATTCATTCATTCAACAATGGATTGAGTGCTGGGCCCTTTGGTGGGTCCTGGGGATTAAAGATGAATAAGATATAACCCGCCACCCTTGAAGAAATCAGTCTTGTGAGGAAGACAGACTTGTAAATAAGAAATTACAACACTGCATAAAAACACCTTAATGGAGCAATGTCCTACATGTTAGGACAAAACAGGTTCTACGTCCTTCCTGGAGGAGGGGCCTTGCAGGATGTGTGCTGGGGCTGCCAGGGGTGGGCAGACTTTTTGACTCGAGGGCCACAATGGGTTCTTAAACTGGACCGGAGGGCCGGAACAAAAGCATGGATGGAGTGTTTGTGTGAACTAATATAAATTCAAAGTAAACATCATTACATAAAAGGGTACGGTCTTTTTTTTTTAGTTTTATTCATTTCAAACGGGCTGAATCTGGCCCGCGGGCCGTAGTTTGCCCACGGCTGGCTGGCTGGGCAGAGTGAGGGAAGGGCATTCCTAGCCCGGGGCCTGGGGGGTGGTGACAATGAGTTCCACATCTGAGCCAATTTGAAACCATCGTTAAGATTTCTTGAACCAACAGCTCAAATATAATCTCTCCATTCTGCTCCCTGCTCTCTCATCTGTAATTCCATCCCACATATCACCGAGCAGGTAGACCCCAGCTGTCTGCAGACAGTCCATGCAGTCTTCCTCAGCTTGTCTTTTACTCCCTTCTCTCGGACTAGCAAGGGTTCCTCTGACTTGCAGTTCCCGATACCGTTGCCTTTTCCACTTGTTGTGTAATTAACGTTGTGATGTAAGATATTCAGGTGCACATGTATACACAAGAGGAAGGAGTCAGGATTCTTGGGGGACAAGGTGGGCTGTGGGTGAAATAGGGTTGTTTGTAAGTTAAGTACCAGAGGGAAAGGTTAGTGCAATCTATTGTGTGAGGAGCAGGAGGGAGTCATAGGTAATCACTTTGGGACTCAGGGGCTGGGCTATCTGAGATGTGCCTGCGATGAAGGAGGGCCCGTATCACAGTGATAAATGTCACTGGAAGGTGACAAATGTCAGCTCAGTGGAGAGGCCACGGTGCTTCTACAGTTGCAGTAATTTTAAAAGAGGAACCTAGCAATTTGACCTAAAACGGACTTCATGGATTTGCTTTCTATGTCACACACACACACACACACACACACACACACACACACACACACGACTGCTGGATCCCTCCCCGGCTGTTTTTACATCAATTTTATTCTTACTTGTATCTTTACAGAAAATGGCACAGAAATCACAGGTTTAGAATACCTAGAAGTTATTACAGTTCCATATTTCAAACACCTCAATATCTTCTCACTCTATGTACATTATTTACACACCAGGGGCTACAGTCTAACACTTCAAACCAGCAGGGGGCAAAGACGAGAATTGGGCCAAAGTTCTGTGAATGGAATGAAGAAGAAATCAACTTGTGATAGGGAGTTAAAATCCCAATTCACTGTCTCAGGCCTTTCACGAGGTATTCCCTGCAGAAGTGGTGGGATGGTAAGGAAATGCGATGGGGTGAGGGGGACATGACCTGGCCTGGGGATGGGGGCACAGCTGCAGAGAGGCCACCAGTACAGGCAGGTCCTCTCAGCAGACGGGAAACCTTTTGCCCCCTGCTCCACGTGCTCACTGTCCGTCTGATTCTAGCGGACATGCACCTCGGCACGCACCTGGCATGAAGGCGTGCGCCTATTGCTTAGTTTGTCGTTCGGGTCTAACACTGGCTCCTGCTTTCCTCCTTCGAGCCTTTTCTCATTCCCTTCTTGTGATCAACCCTTGATGACTATATAGAGCCCCAGGCCCTCTTCAGGCTTGGCTTTCCAAGGACAACCTGGGTGAAACTGGGTCAAGGTCTGTGGCTTCCCAGGTGTTCATTTAACAGCTGGATTGGGTTGTTCCAAGGCAGGGCACATGCGAACCAGTAATTTCTGAGAAGCTCCAGGGGAAGGGTGCCTTGCACAGCAAGTCAGGGTCACAGGCAGCACATCAGGGGAGTCGATGCTTTAGAGCACAGTCTAAGGGCCCTGGTGGAGGGGGTGGTCCCCCCAGCAGTGCAGAGAGCCACGGCATCGGTGAGAGGTCCCCCTGGCTGCAGGGCATGGGCCCTGGCTCACTACAGGTGCACATCATCTCACACGGGGCTGGCACTGGTTCTGGGAGGAATGGTGGGGCCGGCTGGGTGTGGAGAGGGCAGGTTCCTCGGGGTGACCACGGAGGGCGGTCAAGGGGCCCAGGCTGAGTCTTCCCTCCCACGTTTAATCTGGACTCTGGGCCCCACTGATGAGGTGGAGCAGAGGTTGTACCTGGGCCTGCAGGGCAGGACATTGACACGGTGGAGGCCCAGGTCCGGGCCCGCGGGAAGGGACAGGCTGCGGGGGGAAGTTACTGGCTGAGGACTGGGGTGCTCAGGACATTGGCTCTGGAGTGCAGGGCCCCTCCCCCTGACAGGGCCGGGCAGGCAATGGGCTGTGGGCCTGGGGGGAGCGGAATCCACAGGGGGTCGGAGCTGGGCAGAGGGTCTAGAGCAAGAGGACAGTGAGGGGTGGATCCGGACGGTGAGAGTGGCCAGGGATTGAGTGAAAGCGGCTGAGGGGGCGGTGTGGGCAGCAGAAAGGCTTCCGAGGCAGGGCTGTTGGGCTGAGGAGGATGCTGAGGAGGTCAGACTAGGAAGGGGATACCAGCGTGGTCCAAAGCCTTGGCCAGAGCTGAGCTGTGTCTGAGGTCGCCCGGGGGTCATGGAGGGCCTACGGGGCAGGGGGCGGGCGGCAAAGGCCAGGCTGGGCCCAGCCTCGGAGGGCACCTCCCGGCACCACAGGCCGGAGGAGAGCAGTCTTGGGCTCCAGTGGCAGCGCACCCTTGACCCTTGACCTAAGCCACGTCCTCGAGCTGCCGAGGACTCAGCTTCTCCACTGGCCTGTCCTCGTCCACGGCCTCCTCTTCCTCGGGCTCCTCGGCGTTCCGGGCCAGGCTGTTGGGCCCGGACACAGTCCCCAGCACTTTGGTGCTGTGCTCCTGCGCCCTGGCTCGGAGCGCCGCAATGCTGTTCTCCCTCAGTTCCTCCTGGGACATGGCCGCCGGGGCGTCGGGGCCCCGCTCCTCCTGCTCCATCTTATCCAGCTTGGGCAGGGCCTGGCGCTCCACCTCGGGCTTCCTCCCCGACTCGGCTGCTGCCTCCAGCGACTTTTTGTGCATTCCTAAAAAGAAGTGTTGGTATTCGGGTTTAGAAAAGCGCCTGGGAAAGCCATCTTGAACTGAAAACGGCAAAGATAGAGAAAGGCCAGAATTAAGGACAAGCAGAAAGCCTTACTTCACACACCACAGTCATGAGTCCCAGGGCTGGGCCAGGGCCGCGGGAGGGCTGCAGACCAGCAACTAGGCGCCCTGGCCTGCAGAGGGCTCCTCCCAGCCACGCCCCTGGGCACTGCCCCCCCTGCAGCCTGTTCTGTCCCTTCCCAAGCACAGAGCTTGCTCCCCATCCTTCCCTCCTGGGATTCCAGGTCTTAGAACCCCAAGGCAGGCTGGTGCTCTATCAGACAGAGGCCCAGATGGCAGGTGGAGAGATTTAGGGGGCAAGAAGGCCTTTGGGCAAAGCCAGAATGTGGCCAAAGGGACCTAGGGTCCCCCAGTCCCGAAGAGGGGCCATTCCATTCATCACAAGCGCACCTCCCAAAGGGAAGAAAGGGGTACAGACCCTGGGGCACCAGTCACACCCCCCTCACAGGACAAAAGAACCCACAGTCAGGGACCTGCCCAGGGTGGACATCCTAGGCACAGTGGGTGGATGCAAGAGAGACACCAAGCCCTGGGCCCAGCCCACACGGAGCCCCCAAGGGAGCTGGGGGACCTGCTTTGGAGGGCCTCCCTTCTGCTCGGCTGCTGTGCCAGGTCCCTTTGCTCCAGGCTCTGTCCCCTCCTAGGGGAGCCCACTCTCCTTGCCTTGGGGGCAGGGCCCCGAGGAGGGTGTGGGCTCTTACCGAGCAGCCACGGGGCACAGGAGTCCATGATGCCATCCTTGGCGGACTTGAGGATGGACTCGGGCAGGGGGATGGAGTGCCGCACCATGGCCCCATACAGCCCGTACTCCGCCATGACGCTGCTCCGGCCCCAGCACTTCTCTCGCTTCCTCCACTTGGCTCTGCGGTTCTGGAACCAGACCTGCAGGTGTAGACCAACAGGTCAGGGGTGTCCTCTGAGGGGCCCTGGGCCCAGGCCTCCCACCCCCCCTCCATGTCTATCTGGAGTTAAGGTCCCCATCCCTTCCATGGCCAATGGCCCCATACTCTTGGGACTGCTGGTTTCTCCAGGTGGGTGTCCTTACTCAAGCCCCATGGTACCCAGGGGGTTCTTCCAGGCTCAGGGGTATCCCCCAGAATGAGGACCCAAGTCCTGTGAGGGTCTGATGGGTGAAATGGGTCTCTCTTTTTTTTTTTTTTTTTTTTTTTTTAGTGGGATAAGGACACCTCTAGGTCAGGGTCCTGCAGGTGAGCAGGGCCCAGTGTGGTCCTCAGTGTGGTCCTCAGTTTGCAGCTGAGATGCCCAACCCAGGTAGTTCTTGGTGCTCAGACCTTAGGGCATAAAGAGAATGAATGTCTTTCTGACTTGCAGAGGGACACGTTCCTTCCCAGGGGCTGGACTAGCCGTGTTCAGAGCTCCCTCCCTCTCCCCTGAAGGCTTCCAGGGAGCATGAAGGTGCCATGAAGCCTGGGAACCGAGCAGAGGAGGGGGTGCTCCCGGAAGGCCTGCATCAGCGCCCTCCTGGGCCCGGTCTGAGCCTGCCACCCACAGTTACCAACCCAACGCGGCATCATGTTTGAGGGATTGGGCAGCCATCCCTGTCAGGGAAGAAAGACAAAATTCTCAGTGGTGGGAGAAGCAGATGGGAGTGGGCACCTAGGAAAGTGTGGTGGGTCACCCCAGGGAAGGTTTTATTTCTGGTCCCCAAACTGGTGCAGAATCTGAATGAGGGGCGGTTGTCCTGGGGGTGCTGGAGCTCTCCCGCCCTGGAGGGGCTGCCATGCTTGGGGGAGGGGAGATTCCTTGTCTCCCAAACAAGCTCCAGCCACTGATAGGAGCCAGAACCAGAACCAAGGGCAGGCCACTGTTCCTCCAGTAGGTGCGGGGCGCAGGCAGGACCCCAGGCCCAGGGGGGGCCCTCTTGTTCCTTCACAGCTCCTTGGGCTCTGTCGCCCCATCGCAGAAAGGAGCTCTGGGAAGTGGGGAGAAGAGGGGAGGGCAGGGGCGGATTCCAGAAACCTATTAGTTTCCGCTGCGATTTCCATTCCCTCGCCTCGCCGGTCCCCCCTTCCCTCCGGGGCCCCCTCCCCGCCCTCGGCAGCGGAGGTTTCAGCTTTTGATGAAAAATCGCTCCAGCTCTATTCAGGAGGCGGCAAAAGAAGAGTCACCCCCAGGGGCAGCCCTGGGCTGATTGAAAAATAAGTTAATTTCAGTTTGAATCGATGGGCCTCAGGCACTGAAATATCACGGGAAATTAAAGCGGCTGCTCCCCCGGGGGCCGCGGCATTGACCCGCACTAATTAATGCTGGGGAGGCAGCACGAGCCGCGCTGCGAGCCGCTCCCCCTCCCCGGGGGACCCCAAACACTTCTCATTTAACTAATTAGACGGGGAAAATTGGGTGTTAATTTGTTTAGGATTTTTCCCCTTCTTCCCCCGGCAGCTCCCTCCCCGGCTCCGCCCCGCGCGGGGGCGCGGGAAATGAATGCGGGGCTCGCCGGCAGATGGCTGCCCCGGTCACTCTGCAATCTTCTCAGACTTGATTGCTTGATTAGGTCGTTAGCACATTAAAAAAAAAAAATTGCTTGCCGTCTGGCGCTGGCGTGATGAGTGGGACGCGCGGCAGCGCCTGGGTAATTTATCTTTTTATACGGCAAAGAATTTGATTTCAATCTGCAGATATATGGGGCGCCTTTGACACCTGTTTAACATCGCGCCGCTGACAGCTTAACCCTTTGCTGCCTCGGCCGCGGGGAGGCCCCAGCCCGGCCTGCGGGGCTCGGCGTCGGTGCGCCCCCGCGGTTCCCGCCGCCGCCGCCAGGTGGCGGAGTGAGCGCCCCGATGGCCCGCGGCGGCCCGGAGTCTGCGGCTGAGCGCGGCCGGCCGTGTCCGGTAGGGGGCGCCCCAGACGCCTCGCCTCGCATCCCCGCTTCCCCCAAACAGCCCTGCGGTCCCAGACAGCCGTGAAGGATTGCAGAAAGACTGCACCGTCCACGCACAACTTTAAATTGACCCGAATGTGTGTTTCTTCATTTGTAAATAACTGGAGTCTCTGAAAATGGAAAAGACGCGGCCTCAACGTCCCCTGCCATTCCACCTCGACACTGGCCAGCTCTGTTAGAAAACAATCGCTGGTCCCACTCAGTGTGGGTCGCACCATTGATACCATCGGCTTTGGCACCAGCCCATCTGCTGGGGCCCTCCTAGGGGAGCTGGGAAGCAACGTGCAGGGCCTCCCCCTGGTCCTGACCCAGAGAGCCCTGAGTGACACCTGCCAAGGACAGGGTTTCTGTCATTTGAAGGCCACTCGATGGCTGTGCTCTGTGCACTAAAGCTCAGACTGCGGTGAGCAGTGAGCGGGGCTAACTGGCCAGGGTCCTGGCTTAGCTCTATGCTGTTTACATCTCCCCAGCACCGCCTGCAGGCTCTGCCCACTGTAGGCCCTACCTTGTGCCTGCGAGTTGCCTGAGACCCCTGACCTGTCCCATCTTCCTTCCATTACACTTGGTCACCCTCTCCAAGTACCCACTTGTCTCAAGCTCAAGCTGCCTTCTCCCACAGAGGAAAAATCCACATACAGGGATAAGCTACTTCTGGTTCCATCCACCTCTCAGAGAAGATAGCAAAGCCTGAGCCCCTGGGTGATGGAAGGCAGGCGCCTCGTCTGGCCTCTTGGGAGGCTTGGGAGGGCTCACTTTATGAATCTAAGTAAACCACCTGCTTCCTGATCAGGAGATGACCTTCCTGCTTGAACACGGAGCAACAAGGCCCCACCCGTTCCAGTGAGGGGTGTGGCCTTGTTGTATAATACTCCGTGTTCAAGCAGGAAGGTCATCTCCTGATCAGGAGTATTATACAACAAGGCCACACCCCTCACTGGAACGGGTGGGGCCAGATTCCAGAACGTTTTGGATTTTAGAAATAATGGGGGATGCATATACCACATGTTACATAACACCCCGCAGCAGCAGCAGCAGCACCACTACCATAGTCACTCATCAACTCTGATTTCTGCACTAAAGCCTTATATTCACACTGAGAGAGAGAACTAGAAGGTCCAGTCCTGTGTTTGTCACTAATGAGTTTCGACTCCAACTTTACGACAGAACTGTTCATTTCCAGCAGTTTGGATTTACAGATTCCGGAGAAAGGACTGTGGGGTACAGAAAGGCAGATTCCCGCCCTGAGTGTGGGTGCCCAGGAAGGCACATTGCCTTGGCTTCCTCGGGATTCCATGAGCATCAGTGCTGGAGATGGTGGCTGGCTTTCAAGTGAACACAGCATCATTACTAAAGCAGGCGGTGCAGCCCTAGCCGGTTTGGTTCAGTGGAGAAAGTGTGAGCCTGCGGACCAAAGGGTCCTGGGTTTGATTTGGGTCAAGGGCACATACCTCGGTTGCAGGCTCCTCCCCAGCCAGGGCCCTGGTTGGGGTGCATGCAGGAGGCAACTAATTGATGTGTTTCTCTCACATCGTTATTTCTCTTTGTCTTTCCCTCTCTCTTCCACTCTCTAAAAATCGATGGAAAAATATTTTCAGGTGAGGATAAAAAAAAGGGGGGAGTGCAAGCTTGGGATTCAAATCATTTCTGGGGCCTCTAAAAGAATCATTTTCCTGGGTCTCCTAATTTGGGGAAATAAATAACTGCTCTGCAGATCAGACTTGGCCTACACACTCCCAGGGGAGTTGGTGCCAGCTGGTCGTCAAACCAGGAATCATCCGGACCCTGGGTTATGAGCTCCTGGAATGCCTGGCCCTCTGCAAAGACCAGATGCTGCTCCAATTTATGGAGGAACCTGAACAGCCAAAACAATTTCTTTTAAGGACAATTGGCAGGGAAGCTGTGGCAATGATGCCTTGGAGGGAAGTGGGCAAGGGGCTGGAATTAACCCTAACCACTCTTCGTATTTGTCTTTCTCTTCCTTTCCTGGAAGCAACCAGCATGTGTTCATGGGACTTAAAAATGTGCAAGAAGCACTGAAGTCAGCCAGTCCTGCACTGGAATTCCCAGCTCTGACAAAAACTGCTGAGTGATCCTGGGCAAGTTACTTGCCTTCTCTCAGTCTCAGCTGCTTCAGACATAAAATAAGAATACCTACTTTTCAGGGTTGTTTTCAGGATTAATGAAGTAAGTGAAAGCGCCTAAAAGCAGTACTTGTCACACAGAAGGTGCTCAATAAATGCTACTTATTATTTCAGGGGAAGTGCAGAAAGTCTGGGAGTCTCTGCCCAGGGGCAGGGTTCATCAGTGGCATTGCCTGCCCTCCGGCCTCCTCCACATGCCCTTTAGTAAGGCTGGACTGACAAATAACGAGAACAACAACAACTAGGGGTGTGTGTGTGGGGGGGGGGGGGATGCCCCTGCAACACTCCCTTGAGGCCCAAAATGCAAGAGAAGACCTTGCAGAGCCCTGCCAGGTGCTGTGATCAGGAGCTGGAAAACCAAGGCTGGAGATCCCTGCTCTGCCTCCAGCTTTGTGACCGTGGCTGCATTTCTTAACCTTTCTGACTTCCAGGTCCTCATCTGCCTGCGATATCCTCGCAGGTTTGTTGTAAAAAGTCGAACAAAATAGTGCTTGGGAAATGCCTGGCACACAGTAAGAACCAACACACTTTGGCTGGATGCTCGGTGAATTCTGTAGGTAAATGTGCAATGAGATGAGGCTTTGCTTTCCAGCAAGTGGCCAGCGACACTTTTCACATAAAGCCAGGCCCTCCCATCTCGCACCTCTCAGATTCCTTCGCAGCATTTGGGCCCTTTTTCCTACTTGGTCTCTTGGTCCCAACAGGCCCCAAATATTCCTTCCGTCCCACTCCCACTCACTCCCTTGACTTTCCACTTTCTAGAAGAGACTGCTCCTCCTCATGGGGGCGCAGGACTCTTCAGGAAAACCTCCAACAAGGACCAGAGAGAGCCCTGCCTC